CAGTAGTGATGGTGTGCTAGGTCTGTGCTGCCCAGCACAGTAGCCACTTGAGTACACTTGGTTACTGAGCTCTCAGTGTGATCAGTATGGCCCAGGAACTGAAGTTTTCATTTTATTTAATTTTAATCAGTTTAGATAGCCGCAGGTGGCTGGTGGCTGCCACATGGTGGTGCAGGGCCAAGTGCAGAGATCTGCTTTGGGGGAGGGTGGAGGGGCTGTGTTGCACCTGACAGGTGGGTGGTTGGGGGAAAGGCTCGGGCTGCCTGACTTCATCTCTGCCTGCCTGCCTCTCTTTTCACCGTGTTCCTGTTGCTCAGGAGGTGTTTGTCTGATTCCCCTGCCTCCGGGCAGGTGATAGCAGACATTTTACTGCTCAGGGAGAAGAGGAGAAAGGAAACTTAACTGTCAGGGAGTCCTGAGCTGGTTTCTCAGCCACCACCTCAAGAAGCAAGAGGGACCCCAGCCAAGTCACTTCACTTCTGTGAGCCTAGCAGGTGGGGTGACTTGAGTCCCTCCTCTGGGAGGGAGGAAACACCTAGAGCTCGTTCTGTGTGGATCATCAGCGATGTTTTTCTGACTGTCGGGGTCCCAGGGCCCCATGTGCCGTCTCCAGGCGGCGGTGCCCAGTGTGCGTGGAGGCACGAATGGAGATGGGCATTGCTTATCTCCTCACCATATGGGTCCATTGCCCTCTTGGCTGGTGGCTTGAGGTCCAAGGCCTCATTTTTCACATCAGGAAGCACTTAGGAGTTACGTCACCAACTCACTCCATTATTCTGTCTAATACAGCCACACTGCAAGGTACTGGCAGTTTTCTCCTATCATGAGTGGGGAAACTGAGGCCTGGGGAGGTGAGGTCTGAACTGGGACTTCTGGACCGTAAAGCCCAGTGTCTCTCCATAGTACCAGGCTGCTAGGAGAAGCAATAGGGCTTCAGTTCAAGTCTTGCAACATCGTGCTTGGTCTGGTCTTGGCGGTCTGATCCTGGCGTGTATTAGCAGCTTCTGCTTGGGGCCTTAGGGGCTGATGAGAAGCTGGGGGGGGGGCGCGCCCCAGCCCCCACCACGCCCTTCCCTTCCTGCCCTTCAGCCCCGTGGGCCCCTTTGCCCTCCCTCCTACCTGGAGGCATTTGTGGGAATATGATCCTTTAGGTGTCAGCTGACCGGCCGCTTCCTGGGAGAAGCATTCCTGACCAGTGTCCATCTGTAAAACGGGGACAGCGATGGCACTTCCCTCAGAGAGACGTGAGGATGAAAGCAAATAGTCCTTAGGAGGCACTTGTCCAGAGTACTCGGTAGGATCTCAAGAAGTGGGGAGGCTACATACAGTTTTTCTCCCAGGACAGTAAGTCTGGGATGGTCAGAAAGGGTGTCCTCCCTCAGGACTTCCTGCTAGCGGTGCCCCGGGCCGCATCGTGCTTGCCAGAGCGCCCGTGTTCCGTGGCCTTCACGATACAGAGGACTCAGCCCGTTGGCAGCATCCACAGAACCGTCCACGGCCAGACCACCCCTTTCTCTCCAGCCTCCTTGGGCAGCTCTGTACAAGTCACTCCCCCGCCCCAGCCCCCAGGCCTGAAGTGAGATGGTCCTGCAGTCTCCATGGGTTCAGAGAAGGTGGGGAAGCGCATGGTATCAGCTCTCCTTCCTAACGTGTTGCAGCCTTATTTGTTCTCTGCTCTCTCCTCTCACCTTGGCCTTGCTGGTTGCTGGGGACTGGTGCCTTCCTCCCCCAGCCTCTGCCTGCCTCGCCCCTGCTGGTTCAGCAGGCTTCGGTGTAACTCCCCTTTCTCCAGAAAGCTTTCCCTCCTGTTCCCTCTGATGCTGGTCGCAGAAGATCCCCCTAAAGCCATCTCACCCTGGGCCTGTGGAGTAGCAGTTCTCGTCCTTTCCACAAGGGGACACTGGTTCAGGGAGACCTGGTGGCGTTGCTGGATAGGGACAGAGCCCCGACCAAGCCTTTTAGTGGGAGTCCCTTCTCCTCCCCCGCCTAGTGGGCGCCCACCTGGCGCCTGCTGCAGCCTGTAACCCGCGTGTTCGTTGTTGGTCACCTGGCCTCCCCTCTCATCTTCAGCCAGTTTAGGGCCCGGTGGGGTGCCATTCAGTAGCTACCTGCTGGAGTCCACTCTGAGGGGAGTCTTAATTAACCTTGTGGCCAGAGGGAGTGGCTCCACAGGGGGCCAGGCACCGAGTACCTGCTGGGCCATGCAACCCTCCAGAGCAGGCCTCTGTTTCCTGTGTGGCTGGAGCCAGGCTTTGTGCGACCATTGTAAGTTACGGGGCCACCACCGCAAACCTATCCCCCTCCTCCCCCTAGTCGGAAGAAAAAGAGGGTGGAGTTGCATCCTTCCTTAGACCATTCTACACTCCTCCCGCGGGGCGGGGGGGCATTTCCTCTGGGCTGGCCACTCACCCAGTCAGCACAGTAGCCTTGGGGTCTGCACCCCAGCATCACAGGCCCAGGAAGGAAGTCCTCCCCCTCCGCCCCACAAGGCAAGGCCAATGTGAGGTGTGCCAGGGTGCCCCGATGGCCGCTGCTCAGCCTCCAGAGGCAGGCAGAGCCCTGTCCTGACAGCCTAGTCTGTTCTCAGCCCTGTGACCTCGTCCTCTGCCCCCTGCCAGCCCCGAACCCCCAGCCGGCCTGTTCCACCGCCTGCTGTTACTGTCCAGGGTGCCCTGCTGCCAGACCTTCTCCCCAGCTCTTCCTTGTCCTCTTCCCGAAGGGCCAGCCATTTTCTGTTTCCCGTTTCACACCCTTCCAAGGTTTTGGGGTGGTTTTCCTTTCTACCAAGTTTTGAGCTCATGAATGCATCCCATCCATGTGCTTTGTGTCCCTCGTGGCAGGAACTTTCTGTCTCAGCCCTGTGCAGCCTTTCTACACATGAGGAAATTTGCGGGCTCAGGGCGTTTTGCAAAGAGCCATGTGGTGAGCTCAGTCGGCACCCACATCAGTCGGCTTCCAAGGCCAGCAACCCCACGCACTCATCCCTCCGTCCCTTTGGTAATGGCCTGCCAAGTGCCTGCTGTGAGAATCGAGCCCAGCGTGCTCCCTGCCCTCCCCGAGCTTGTGATCTGTGTGGGAGGCAGACACAGACTGCCGATCCTGGGGGTGGGGGACAGAAAGGTCCGGCCGGTGTGGGTGCTCAGGAGGGGGGTGTGTGGGCGGCCCAAGTTCAGTGGCTTCCCTCACAAGCAGGGGAAGTCTGCCGCTGTGGTCACGCCTGGACCTGCCCTGCCGTGGGGAGTGTCGTTTCCTTTATTTCCTCACAGCCACAGACGCAGATAAACGCCCCCGTGCTCACGCTTCCCCCTGGATGCTTGGCTGCTCTGCCAGGCAATTCAAGGAGGGGGAGTGGGGTGCACACCGAGCACCTGAGGGGTGTTGGGGAGCCAGCCCGTTGCTTGTTGAGTTCCTCCTGGAGGCAAAGCCGTGATCCCCGTAGATGGGCGGGCAGAAGCTGGGTCAGCCATGGCAGCTGGGGGGACGAGCAGGGCTTTGGGGTCTGCTTGTCAGCCTGGCCTGCTTTGAAAGCTGACTGACGTGTTTGTAGCTGTGGTGCAGGTGATGTTACCCCCAGTATCTCTGCTTCCTCCCTCTTCAGGCCGAGCAGGCAGGCTGAGGACCCAGTGATATCGTGGGTGCAGAGCTCCGCCGGCAGCTGGACAGGGCTTGCTTAAGGGGAGCACTGGCAGTGCTACCAGGTCAAGGTTGAGAAATGGGGTTGGCACCCAGAGGCTGCCCAGTGGACTTTTCCCCGGGTTTTCCCTGCCAGCAGAGGGGGTGCCATGCCTGCCAACCCCCAGGGCTCCTCTGGCCATCCAACGTCTTCCAGTTTCCACAAGTGACATCCCATCCCTCGCTTTCTGTCTTTGGTGTGTTCTTGTGACCCCGGCCTCCAGGGCTCCTTCCCTGACCCCCAGCTTCCCTCTTGCTCTCAGCTTGCTTCCTTGGGAAGGCCGGCTCCTTCCCATTCGCCCATGCTCAAGGCTTCTCTTGGGCAAGGATGGATCAGCCCCAGCCTCAGCCGCACTTGCTTGGCCGCCAGCTTCCTCAGTGGGCAGCAGTGACAGACGTCTTGCTTCTCTTAGGTCCCCAGAACCCGGCTAGGGGCTCGGAACAAAGCAGGTGCTCAAATATTTGTTGAAGGAGTCTCTGGGCCTGGAGGGGTGGGGGTTGGGACAGGAGCACAGAGGCTATCAAAGCATGGAAGTTTGCTGCGGGGAGAGGGGAACAGACGGTCAATAAAGAGATGGGCGCAGCCGTGTGGTGGTGGCAGAAGTGACCGTTGACATTTCCTGAGCGTTTGTCCTATGACTTCCAAGTACTCTGTTAACCAGTTTTGTGTGCAGGATGTTGTTCAAGCCTCACGACACTTCCACAAGGTGGTTTCCCTTTTACAGACGAGAAAGGGGCAGCTGGCAGAGGGGAAGTCACTCTCCTCTGGTCACCTAGCAAGGGATTTGAACCCAGGCAGGCTGACACCTATGACCCCAGAGACTTCCTTGATACCTGGGTGGCCACCCTGTTTGTGTGGGGGCAGTGAAGAGCCCATCCAGCCAGCTGGAGGGTACTGAGGGCGGGTGAGCCTGCGGTGGCAGTGGGTGATCGTGAATGGGGGTATCTGGTCAGACTGGAGAGGCTTTGAATGCCAGGGTGAGGCATCGGGGCCTCTGACAGAACAGCTCCTGGTTCTTGAGCCAACGGACCGCTGCTCCGCAGGGTGTTTAATCTTTACAGCCGCCTTGTGCGATAGATGGTATCTGCCCCCCAGTTTTACAGATGAGGAACGGAGACGCAGAGGAGTTCTGGTGACTTGCCCAAGGTCACACATGAAGAAAGCGGTGGAGCTGCGATCTGTACTCAGTGTGTCAGGCCACAGGGCCCACTGGGGTCCGGGGGGCATAACTACCAGGCCATACTGCCTGCCGCCCTGAGGTCAAGCCAGGAAAGCCTCTGCTGCTCCTGACATGAGCACCCCCGCCCCCACACTCCTCTCTCCCTAGCTCCCCCAGAGACAGGAGCAGCAGCACTTCCCGTCCCTGGATGACAAGCCTCAGTTCCCGGGGGCCTCGGCGGAGTTCATAGACAAGCTAGAATTCATCCAGCCCAATGTCATCTCTGGGATCCCCGTCTACCGCGTCATGGACCGGCAGGGCCAGATCATCAACCCCAGCGAGGATCCCCACGTGAGAGGCCCTCTCCTTCCCCCACTGTGTCTCCCATGCCTGGGCTCCTTGTCTGTCTCCTCTCTGGTCCCAACTGCCCCGCGTCTGTCTGCTCTGCCCGCAGCTGCCCCAGGAGAAGGTGCTCAAGCTGTACAGGAGCATGACTCTGCTCAACACCATGGACCGCATCCTCTACGAGTCCCAGCGCCAGGTGCGTGCGCTCGGCCTGGGGAAGGGGGTTCCTTAGGTCGCCCTGCCTGTGTTCGAGCCAGAAGATGACTCCTGAGCGGGGGGTGGTGGAGGTCCTTTGTCTTGGGGTCCTCAGAGTCCTTGAGGTTCTCAAGGATAGAGAACGTTGGAGGAGAAGTGTGGGACGGGTGCTGCCTGAGGGCGGAAGCATGGACCAGATCCTCCCGTGCTCCTGGCCGGGGGCGTGTCTGTACTGGGGGCTATCCGGCAGGAAGACCTGACGGGCTTTCCCCTGGGGAGCTCCCAGTCCCGAGAAACCAGGGTGCCCCTCTGTGCTTCCTGGGCGCCTGTATCACACGGACTGTGAGCCTCAGCCGTGTTTGTGGCGGCGGACAGAGACCTGGTCAGAGCAATGTCAACAAAGAGGCAATTTATGGACTCGGGTAACTTCACTTTCAGAGGGTCCTGTTTCAGGTGTGGCCGGATCCCAGGAGCTCAGTGTTATCAGACCTGTTTCTCTCACCGGGTGTCTTTTCCATGCTCTCAGCTTCCTGCATCTGGCAGGTCTAGGCTCCAGGATAGGTGGCGGAGAGAGGATCAGGGCACAGGCTCCAGGGCAGGACTTTACAACCCAAGTCTTCATTCTGCCATTTTGTAGCTGTGCCCTGGGGGAGTTGCTTCATTTGTCAGGTTTTCTGGTTGCCTTAAGGACTGCCAGTGGCATATGTCATGGCCTTAGGAAGAACGACACTGGTGTTTAGCCAGCATGCGGTAAATACTAGCTATCATAATCCTGCCGGGCTCACAACCTTTTTGCTTAGCAGCGGAAGGAGAATGTCTGCTCCCTGAGGTTCCAGCAAAGGCCAGGGCTAATGCTCTCGGTCTGGGCTTTGGTCACAGACCCTGCCTTCAGCCAGCCCCTGGCCAGGAGAACCATTTGCCATCCCCAGGATCCAAGAGAGCAGTGGAATCCATTCCTCCCAGGGCCCAGGGTTCCTGTGGGAAAGGTGGGATGAATGTTGGGCAACGGGCCCTTGGGTGCCTACGGCACCTGCTGGGTCAGGAGTAGGGATGGGCCTGAGAATCAAGCCCCCAGGCCATCCTGTGGACTAAAGCATGAAGCCCCCTGGCCTATGAGACAGTACTGAGCAGACTCCCACGCACAGGATACTACCTCTGGGTTTTCCAACTTAGGGTTGTACCTCTACCCCGAAACTTGCCCAGAAACTTCCCTTGGCCCCCGCACCCCACAGGGGCAGGCCTGGCCTTTCCTCTTCCCCTATCCCCCATTCCCCTGTGGCCTGGGCTCTCTGGGCTCTCTGCTCCCCTCTCTGCAGCCTTACCGCCAAGGCCGGGCCACCCCTCCCCCGCTCTTGACATGCCTGGGCTCCTCCCTGCCAGAGTTGACTGTGCTGACGGGAGCTTTGGAATCCCAGAGAAGCAGGTCTGGTCCCAGCCAAGTTATGCTGTGGCTATTCTTTTATTTCCTCAGGGGAGGTAGGTTTATGGTAAAGAAATATCTGTACATCTTAGCTGTAACATGCCTATATGCAGGGCTAAACAGAGGTTTTTAACCTGTAGATTAAAAGGAATAGAAACAACAGGGAGTCAGACATGCTATGTTTTCCCCTGTTATAATTTCCCGTGGTCAACCTTCATTCCATTTCTATGGAACATGGGCAGAGGTCTGCCTTCTCGAACCAGTTCAAACTGAATTAGGGTGCAGTGGAGGCTTTGGAATGGAAGGATCTGAGACAGAGCTGCTCTCAACTTTTGGTCCCTTGTGCTAATGGTGGGGGTCTCAGAGATAGTTTCCTCTCTGAGGACTTGGATATTTCTCTACATGGTTTGGTACCACGTGGCCTCATTGATTTTATCCCCAGTACACTTTAAGGAATGATAACAGTACAGTCTAACCCGATAGTCTCACTCTCTCTCAAATCGACCTGGCATCAGTGGCCATCGGACAACGATTTCGCCTGGCTTTGCCTCAGTTTCTTTGGTATGCTAAAAAGTGGGGATAGCACGGTAGGGGTAGGAATTCTGTGAGGTCCAGCTCACAAAGCGCCTTGTCCTCTGGCTGAGGAGGCCAGTAGGATCAGAGCAGACCTCAGTAAGAGCCACTCCTGTGTCAAGGCTCAGCTTATATTAGCCAGGCTTCTGCCCAGCTGTAAGTAACAGACCTCCCCCAGGTGCCCCCCCAAATCCTAACAGAAACCAATGCAGTTGCATAAACAGATTAGGAGGGCTTTTAATCTTGCATAGAGGAAATCTGAAAATGGGGTGTGGGCTAGCATGGTGGCCCCATGATGTCACTGGATACCCATCTTCGGCTTCTAGCTTCGAGTGTCCTTCATGAGCCAAATGGCCACCGGAGCTACCTCCATCATGCCGCATTCCAGGCGGAAAGTGGAAGGAAGGTGGCAGGTCAGACATGGCATGTCCCAGCTATCTCCTCATGCCCACCGTTCTAGAGCTTTGCAGGCAGTCCCACCCAGTAGCGTCTGAGACACTGCATGCGGTGCTCCCAGCTGCAAGGAGGCCGAAATGTGGTCTTTCCACGCGGGCAGCTGGTGCCTGTGGAATGCGATCTCGGTTAGCAAGCACAAAGAGGGGTAGGATACTGGGTAGGCGACCAATGACCTCTGCCTTGAGCCGAGTCCTGTTTCCTGGGTAGGAGGCCTCTCCAGCTCCTCCCCACACCCCCTCGACAGCCCTCCCAGGCCTCCAGCGCCCAGCATCAGCCCATGTGGCTGTGGGAGGTCAATTAACTTTTAATTGTCTCCCAACTTAGAAGAAAGCTTTATTCATCTAGTTCTCCCACCATGACAGCCTGGGCTGCAGAACACATGAGGACTGGGCAGGGGGCATCCCTCAGATACTGACTGCTCTCTCACTTTACGCATGGTGCCGGGGAGCTTAGTTCTGGCTGTGTGCCAGGGGTGCCGCAGATACCCGGCCAGACTTCACCTCTTAGCCCTAGATCTACTTGGCTTCTTGCCTTGGCTGTCCCACACCAAGTTCAGCCTGTCCAGACTTGACCTCGGTATCTTCCTCTCTCGGGCCATTTCTCAGCGGAGGGTGCCACCATTCACCCATCTGCCCAAGCTGGAGACCTATATCTCCTCCCTGTCTCCGTTCTACCCCTCGCATCACTTTCTCCCGTCTACTTTACTTTGTCCCTCCCTGTTTAGTTAGAAATCCATTCTGCTGCTCAGCACCATGCCAGGAGCCTAGATTTCCTGCATTTCTGCTTCACCATCGTGGGCGAGTTGGCTTTCATCCCACACGTGTTGCCTCATTTTCGCAAGATGGCTGCCACAGGTCCAGCCTCCCAGTGGTGTGCCAGGCGGAAGAAGGGCTGGGGCCAGCTACACTCATCTCTTTTATCAGGAAAGCCAGAGCAGATTTCCACTTAAGTCTCTGGCTGGAACTGTGTCTGTGGCCACCTCTGGCTATAAGGGAGATTGGGAGAATGTTTGGCTTTTTCAGGCTCTAGAGTTGGGGGGCTCAGGAGAAGGGAGTCGGCCAGGGCGTCGGTGTGGCCAGGGTCTGCCGCTCCTTGGCACTTTGACTCTCCTTAAGCCTCTCCCCTCCGCTTCTCTGCCTGCCTCCTGCCGTGACAAAGCCCAGCTACCACCCCTCTTGCCTGGTGGGCTGCACTCAGTCCTGCCGCCACCATCCATTTCCCACATGACAGCCAGAGAGCTGTTCCTGAACTGTCGCTCTGGGAACAGCTGTGGGCGTAGTTCTCAAGGTAAAGTCCTGTTGCGTCGTTCACGGCCTTACTGGGTATCACCTCTCCACCTGGTCTGTCCCCACCCCTCCCACTTTCTGCCCCAGCCATTCTGGCCTTGACTGTTCTCTCTCCTTGGAAACCTGCATCTCCCCCAGCTTTGCCCGGCTCAGGCGTTTCTCCCTGCTACCCCTCTGTGGTGGGCTGCAAACACACGTCGGCCTCCCGCCACACAGCCCTGGCGCTCTGCCTCTCACCGATCTAGCAGTTCCTCCGGGAAGGTGGGAACCCTGGCCTGGCCTGGCCCAGGAAGTGTGTCTGGGATGAGTGAAGTCTCCAGAAGCTGGACAGTTATCTGGATGGTTGCCTGTCATTGCCCAGCATAACGGAGCCCGGGCCCCTGGGCCCTCCTGCACCCCCAGGGCCGGATCTCCTTCTACATGACCAACTATGGCGAGGAGGGGACGCATGTGGGGAGCGCAGCGGCGCTAGACAACACGGATCTGGTGTTTGGCCAGTACCGGGAGGCAGGTATGTCTGCTGTGTTGGCCTGCGTCTGTGGTCCCCGTGGAGGCAGATCAGGCCGGGTCCCTCTGGGTGGTTAGGGGAGGCCCGTGTTAGCTACTCCGGATGCTCTTCTAGGAGCAGCGTGATGCCAGGGAGGATTAAGGAACTGCAGAGGGAGCTTTCTGAGCAAAAAAGGGCCAAGTCAGGTCCAGGGGTGTGTGGCGGCAGGCTTCCTCCGTCTGGAGGCCAGGCAGGCAGGCTCACAGAGAAGAGCCTGTGCTCGGGCCGCTCCGTGCTCTGCCGGCTGCCACTCACCAAGTTCGGGTCAAATTGCTTCCCTTCTGTGAGCCTCTGCTCTGTGATCGCCAACACAGAGCTGCTGATGGCACCGTGACCCCGGCACTATGACCCCTGTGGCACTGCGGCATGCAGTCAGGGCAGGCCTGGCCTCAGGGGCCCCACATGGGGACCCCATCCAGAGTGTGGGGCTCCCCTGGCCTCTCTGGGCTCTGTGTCCTTCAGGGAGCAGAGCAAACAGGAGGCCCTGGCAGTGCAGCCGGGGCTGGCCCCTTCTGAGTGAGGGAGTGACAGGACGGAAGGTGTGAAGCAGGTCGATGAGCATGGAGGAGTGACTGGGTAAGGGCTGTGGAGGGGAGTCACAGGGCAGGGGACACAAAGCCCGCAGCACAGGGTCTGGCACTGGGTAAGTGCTCCAAGTTGGAGGCATATGCCCCGGCGTGGGGGGGGGCGGCTGGTGGTGGTGGCTCTTACCTGGGACAGCTCTTCAGCAGCGGGCAGGCTGGCTGGGCAGGCAGCTTGGCATTCCTGTCTGCTCCCGTCCCTGTCCCCCATGCTGTCTGGGGACAGATGTCCTGTGTATTGGGTGTCCCCAGACACTGAGCTGTGGGCCCCCGCCGGATTTGCTGAGCACCTCCCACCTCCCGCTTGTTTTTGTGGAAGGGGCCTCTGGTGAGGACTCCGGGGTGGGCGAGCGAGGGGGGTGGAGCCGTGGGCAGCCGCTGGGCTCTCCACACAGTGGGGGTGGGGGGCTGGCCCTGGGTGCCCTGCAGGAGGGAGCCCTACCGCGCCAAGGCCCCTGCAGAAGGCAGCCTGCGTCTGGGCAGCCGCGAGGGGTGGGAGCCACGGAGACCTGTGGCCGGCCTCGCTGAGGCGGCTGCTCCCCTCTCTCAGTCCCCGTCTTTGGGGTGCGGAGAACAAGGGCGCTCTGAGCAGTAGCCAGCCCCCCTCCCAGCCGAGCTCTTCCAGGCCCTGGTGCTGTGCTAAGTGCTCGATACCTGCTTTTGCCTGCCCTGATCCACGGGAAGGAGCCTCCCAACAGCCACGTTTCCTGTCTGAGCCGGGCGGCAGGCAGCCCAGCAGGTTCTGGCCCAGGGTGCAGGCCATGAGCCTCCTGAGGGGTGGAGCCCTCTGTGGTGCTGCCCACGCGGGGCCATTCGGTGTAAACCAAGGGTGTACGTGGCCTGCTGGCCCTGGCACCGGCAGGAAGGGACCCTCATCAGGGAGCTCACGGGCAGCACGTTCCCACCTAGAGCAGTAGTTGCCACGGGGCCTGCGGTTTTCCGGGGCGTCAGGCCCGCCTGGGCCCAGGACTCCTGGCTCTGCCCGTGGCTTCTTGCGCTGTGAAGAAGCCCCCCCCCCCCCGCCACGGCCCTCCATCCCGCATCAACCTGGGCACTCTGTCTTTGTGTTATGTACCGCGTGGCCACCCTGTGAGTATGTGTGGGTGACAGGAAACCCCACGTCTAGTTCTGTGGAAGGCGAAGGCTGCCGTCCCGTCCAGCACCCCTCACCCCGATTGCCACTTAGGTGCGTGCTTGGGACCCGACTGTCCGGGCAGTGCTCACCGTGGGTGGGGTGTCTTGGCGGTGGCACCCCGTTAGCTGGTAAACACCCCCCCAGCCCCGCTGTAGCCCCAGTCATGAAGGGTGAGCTCTGTGTGGCCCCCTGCACCCCACCCACCACCTTACGGTGTGACCTCGAGCCGGCTCTGGGAGCTCTCCCACCTCAGTTTCCCCATCTGTAAATGGGGAGAATAAGCTCCCTCAGGGGTCGTGAGGATTAAGTTAATCTCTGGAAGGTGCTCCAAAGAAAGGCGCCCGGCCCCAAGCGTCGTATCCGTATTGCAGTCCTTCAGGGAGCGTGGGCACACAAAAGGTGGCTGGTGTGCAGTGGGACCCTGGTTACATAATCACGTGAAGGAAGAGCTCCCCAGTGGAGGAGGAGGTCTGGAAATGCCTGCACCAGCCAGCTGCTGCCCTGCAGTGCTCAGGTTCTGGGTGCTTCCACAGGCATCTTTGAACCCCCAGTGCAGCCCCTCGGCTGTGGGCGTGACAATCATCCCCCAACGAGAGCAGGTCGTTGCTCATCCCAGGACCACCTTGACCCCGTCCTGTCCGACCCAGCAGGCCAGGCTCCCTTCACCCAGAGCACTTCCGTGTGGTGGCAAGGTTTGGTTGGAAGAAAGGGTAGTACAGCCGTAAGCAGGTTCAAATATCATCTCTCTAGTTCAGAAGTTGTGGGCGAGCGGCCTGTACTTTTATTTGGTTCCTGTAACGATTTTGGAAGTAATGTATGAGTTGAAACATCGATAGTTTCTCATTAAAAAAAAAAAAAAAAAAAAAGCCAGATTTTGCCGCCTTTTGAAGAACCGAGCCATGAACCATCGGGTGTCTCCGAGCAGCCGGGGTGTTTGGAACAAGGCCTCCCTTTCGGGACAGGCCCGAGTTCTGTGTCCCCCCCCCCCCCCCCCCCCCCCCCGCGCGTGAGCCTCTGAATCTGCCTCCCCTTCCCGACTCCAGTTCCCATTTGGACCCACGGGGACATGGAGCCCAGGCAGCAGGGGCCTTGCCCTGGGATGGCCAGGGGTCGCTCTGACCCTGCGCCAGCCGCAGGCTCACGGGCACCCCGCCTCCCCCGGCCTGCAGGTGTGCTCATGTACCGGGACTACCCCCTGGAGCTGTTCATGGCCCAGTGCTACGGCAACGTGAGCGACCTGGGCAAGGGTCGCCAGATGCCCGTGCACTACGGCTGCAGGGAGCGCCACTTCGTCACCATCTCGTCTCCACTGGCCACGCAGATCCCGCAGGGTGAGGACTCATCAGGGGCTCGGGACTCGCACACCAGCGTCCTCCCTGGCGCGGCCCAGCCCTTCTCCGTCCTTGCCCTTCTGGGGGCTCCTGGGGGAGGGGGGGCCGGGCTCGAGACTTTCCAAGCACTGACACTTCTCGTCTGGGAGTCTCCAGAGGAGGGCTCTGGTTTGGCAGGCTGGGGCTGGCATGACCATGCTCTGGTTTCCTGACCTGCCGGTCCCGTCAGTCCACTCACCGACACGGCAACTGCGCGCGACTGAGCGGGAACCAGCTTCTTGCAAAGGGTCCCTGGGCAGAGCTGGGTTCCTGCCCCCAACCCTGCTCTCCCTCAGTCCTCGGAGTCTGACTCCACTGAAGCTTACTCTGGAAGCCCAGTCCCTAGAGCACTGAGTCACTTTGCTCAAAAGTGACCGCTTAGGGAGCAGAGCCCTTGGGCCAGGCCCACACCCACACGGCACAGAGACCCCGGAACCTGCCCTCACTCCCTGCCCTCCGGGCCTGCGGTCCAGTCATGGGCCAGCCGGGCTCTGGCTGTCTCTAACCCTGGGTGGCCGAGAGTCATGCATTGCCGTGTCCGTGGGGCTGAGCAGCGGGCTGGTCACTGGCCCATCCGTGTGCCTTAGCTCGCTTACTCCAGGTGCCTGGAATAAGGCGCCGTTGGCACCTCTGAGGTGGGAGGCGGGCAGGGCAGCTTTGTGAGAGGAGGTGGCATGTTCCCTGAGGGTAGGTGGGATTTCCAGAAGGCTGGGCCCTGGTCCCTTACCCTCCGTTTGAGTGACTGTTAGGCCTCTTGGCCGGCAGACATTGGAATCCCTGCTATGTGGGTGCCGTGCTGGGCGCAGTGAGCAAGAGACAGACGCCTTAGTCCTCCTCTGTGTGGAGGACACAGGCAGGAAGCACGCGGGGGGAGCACGGGGAGCAGATGAGGCGGGAGCAGCCCTGCAGGGACGGAGAGGGAGTTGCAGTGATGGAGGAAGGTAGGGGGTTGTGTCACAGGTGACATTTCTTACAGATCAGAAGGAGCCGGGGAGGGTGCCACGTGGGGTCTTGAGGCAAGTGCGTGCTAGACAGCTTGAGGGTCAGGAGCCTGTGGCAGGCGTGGAACCAGGGCGGGAGGCCAGGAGGGGCTCGGCGGTGGCGGGGAAGGCTGTGGATCTAGAGGAGGCTGAGGGCAGTGGGAGCTGTGGGGGAGAGAGGTGTCGGGCCGGAATGGCAGCCTGGTTCACATTTTAACCATTTTAACTGGCCTTTGGCTGTCCCTGGCAACGGGTGGGGGGGGGAGGAACAGGAGGCCAGTGAGGAGGCTGCTGGGAGCTCAGGCAAGGTGACCGGGTGAGCAGACCTACGGGAAGGAGGCCAGGGGACACGGGGTCAGATTCTGGCAGAGTTTTGAGGGTGGAAGAGGCGAGGGGAGCAGCTGGAGTCAGGGGAGTCACCATCGGCCAGGGGATGGGGGGTGAGAGCGGGGCGGGGGCGCTGGAGCGAGAGGACAGAGCCGGGTGGGGGGAGCATGCAGTTTTGCTCCTGCTCACCCCCTCCTCCCCCCCACAGCGGTGGGGGCGGCCTATGCGGCCAAGCGGGCCAACGCCAACAGGGTTGTCATCTGCTACTTTGGGGAAGGGGCCGCCAGTGAGGGGGACGCACACGCCGGCTTCAACTTTGCTGCTACCCTCGAGTGCCCAATCATCTTCTTCTGCCGGAACAATGGCTATGCCATCTCCACGCCCACCTCAGAGCAGTACCGCGGGGATGGCATTGGTAGGGGCCCAGTGGGCTGCTCCCCAGTCTGCGTGCTTGCCCCCCCCCCCCCCGCAGTCCTTTCCCTGCCATGTCTGTAGCAGGGGGTCGCAGGAACACTGCCTTGCCTGCTCCCTCTCCCCCCTCCCCTTTCTCTGCTCATTGTCCTCATCTGAGCTCCCCGCCCGCCCGCCTCACACCCAACCTGCCTCTCTGTCCCTGACCTGCCTCTCCCCACAGCTGCCCGAGGCCCGGGCTATGGCATCCTGTCCATCCGTGTGGACGGCAATGATGTGTTTGCTGTGTACAACGCCACCAAGGAGGCCCGGCGGCGGGCTGTGGCTGAGAACCAGCCCTTCCTCATCGAGGCCATGACCTACAGGTGCTTGCCTCCCCCATTCCCCCTGTGGCCTTGACCCCATCTTCCCTGCATGGGTCACTGTCCCCAGAATATGACCCCCAGAATACGACCCCGTCCCTTTTATTGGATACTCACATTGGATCCCCTTCGTGGCCTCTATTCCATTGCCACCCTTTCTCCCCTAGTCCTTGCCCTCCCTCCTAACCCACCGCAGGGGGCTCCTGCCTGACTGTGGGCCCCCTCCGCCTGCAGGATCGGGCACCACAGCACTAGTGATGACAGCTCGGCCTACCGCTCGGTAGATGAGGTCAACTACTGGGACAAGCAGGACCACCCCATCTCCCGGCTGCGCCACTACCTGCAGAGCCGGGGCTGGTGGGATGACGAACAGGAGAAGGCCTGGAGGAAGCAGTCCCGCAAGAAGGTGGGGGCCTCTCTCTGCTGGAAGGCCATGCCCCAGGGGGCGTGGTCCGGCGCAGTGTGTGGTGGAAAAGCCTGGAAGGACTGGGGGCACACGGAGCTCGGAGACCTGGGCATAGCCCAGCAGGGTCTCGCTGCAGCCCGCGGTGCCAGGCTGCCTGGGCACGAGCCTTTGCGGGGTCCTAGCTGTGTCCTCGGCAGGGACATGCCGGGATCCTCGTCGGGGGCTGTGCGAGGGGTAGGTGCCCTAGTCCATGTGCAGTGAGTGTCCCACTCTTCTCAGCCTGGAGCTGGGGCAGTGAGCCCGGTGGGAAGAGCTGCCCTGGCCCGGGCCCTCCCTCTGGCCTCCGTTTCCTCACGTCTGAATGGCTGCTGCCTGGTCCCGCCCCACTGATCCCTGCATTTAGTGCAGTGCCAGACCGCGTGGGGCACGAGGGGCCTGGCTGGGGGTGCTGACGACGTGGATCCTCTCACTCCTGCCCATCCTCTCTTCTGTGCCCAGATGGGAACCCCGGCCGGGGTCCCACAGGTGCGGGGTCGGGGGCCAGCTGCGTGCCTACTGTCCCCCCTCCCCCAGGTGATGGAGGCCTTCGAGCAGGCGGAGCGGAAGCCAAAGCCCAGCCCCAGCCTGCTCTTCTCCGACGTGTACCAGGAGATGCCCGCCCAGCTCCGCAAGCAGCAGGAGGCCCTGGCCCGGCACCTCCAGACCTACGGGGAGCACTACCCTCTGGACCACTTTGAGAAGTGAGGCCTGCTCATCCCCGACCCCCACCTCAACCACCCCGAGGGGCAGCCCCACTCAGGGGCCCAGGGAGCAGTGGGGCACCACCCTCCCGCAGTCTGCTCCCTCCACACTACTGGGGCCAGGGCTCCAGCCCCCATCCCCACTCCTCCAGGCTGTTACCTGGTGGGGCTTGGTCAACCCCTCCTCGCCTGTTACAGTGCCTTCTCCCAGGGAGCTGGGCCGGGGCGCCTCCAGGACTAGAAGCCCCTCTGGGTGGGCGTGGTGGGTCAGCCTGTGAAGTCACTCCCTCAGTGAGAAGGGGTCAGCAGGTGGCCAATAAACTCTCTTGGCTTGTACCCCCCGCTGGTCTGTTTCCTGGACTTCGGGAGGTGGGAGGAGAGCCTGGCCTGGCTGGTTTGGGATCACCCCTTGTTTCACACCCCCCCCCGCAATAAAGAAGTCCAGGCCATTGAGACATGTACTTCCCCGGGAAACTCTAGCAAGCTGGAGGATGGTGGGGGGGTTGTCCTCCCAAGTCAGTCTCCTGTTCTCCCTTAGGTGGGACAAGGCTGCTGTTCAGCAAAGTGACCAGGAGGTCACCAGAGCTGGCCCTGCCCAGTAAGTGGGGGGAGGGTATCCACTGTGAAGGCCAGGGTGCAGCTGCGCTCACTCTGTCAACTCCTCTGGGGCCCCACAGGCACAAAGATGACTCCGGGTCTCAGAGTGGGGGGTGGGGTGCATATTTTTCAAAAACAAGAAGTAGATAAAAACAGTCTGTCACCTCCTGCTGCCCAGCCCCCTCGCCTGGGAGGACCAAGGAGGGGCTCAGGCAGTTACAATTCTAGGGTTTCTCCCTCCCACGGAGGCCTGGGAGAGGTGATGTCCAGGTCTGCCCTCCTCCCTCTCCCCAGCTCCCCCACAGCTCAGCACTGGAACTGGGGGTCCTGCAGCTGCTTCCAGAGCCGAATGCTGTTCTGGGGGCTGAGGGGCTGCACCAGCAGCAAGTCCCGGAAGGTGCAGGGGTCGGCTCTTTGGTCTGCTGGCCAGGCTGTGCGAAAGCCTTTGTGATCCCTGGGGGCCAGGCCCAGGGCACGGAAGCACAGGCCAGTGTAGACGTCGTCGAAGGGGAAGGGGGCCACACGGGCCGCCGCCTGCAGCAGCCAGGGGGCCAGGCGCCCGGCGATGACATAGCCACCCCCACTTGCGTAGGCTGGGTAGTGACCTTTAAAGAAGGACTGGGGCACATAGAAGGGCCCTCTAGGCTTCCGGAGGGGCTTGGCCTGGGTGAAGACCTCCCCCATGTAGAGGCCTCGGGCCCAGCTGGGCGGCAGTCCCCGCAGGTGCTCCAGGAGGGCGGGTGTGCGCACGAAGGCGTCATCTGGAGCCTGCAGCACGAAGCTCACGCCCGGGCAGTGCTCGCCCAGCCAGGCCAGCAGCAGCAAGTCTTTGAGTGTCCGATTGAAGGGGACGTCGAGGAAGTCCCAGAGCAGCAGGTCACCGTAGCGGCGGCTCTCCCAGGCCACCAGCGAGCTCAGGTCAGGCCCCCCCTCACCCTCGGGAGACCCCAGCAGGAAGAGCAGCCGGACTCCCAGAGCCGGGCCGCCCCACGTCTCCCTCACGGCCTGCCGTTCCGCAAAGCGCCCCGGTTCCGACTTCACAGCCAGCAGCAGGTAGGGGACGTCGGTGCCTGAGCAGCCAGCCACTTGGCCACTGCCACTCCCAGGCTGCCAGGGCGGGAAGCTCCGGCAGGCCGCTGACAGCAGGAAGCGGCGGAGGCCCTTAGGGTAGGACTTGAAGTCTGGGATTTCGGCGGCCGCGGCGGCCCCCCAAGCCTGGCAGCCCCCTGCCTCTGCACTGTCCCCACCGGGCAGGGACCCCAGCCGCCACTGCTGCTGGTTCCAGTAAGCCGAGGGCAGCGGGCCGGTGTGGCCCAGACGGGCAGAGAGGTTAGCCGGCAGGGTGGGCTCGGGGCTGGCGGGTGTGGGGCCTGGTGGGGTGTCTTGGGGTCCCTGGTAGGCTTTGCTGAGCTGAGACTCAGATGTCCACTCGATGTACACCTTGAGGCCTAGGAGCGTGAGCAGCGCTGACAGGCAGAGAAGGCACTTGGGGCAGCGCATGACCCAGCCCAGGGAAGGTGTGGCCACGGGAGCTGCAAAGGAGCCACAGAGGCCTTTGGGGTGCAGGGATGGGCTCCAGCAGTCCCTGCCGGCCCCTGTAACCGCTTCTCTCAGCCCCAGCCCTTAAACCGGCTCCCTGCCCAGGACCCAGCTCTTCCCTATTCCTGGAGCTCGGAACACTGTTCAGTTCTTCTGACTCGCTGCTCTTTCTGCCCGGCCCAGCCCATTCCATGGACCTATTCCGCAGCCCCACCCCAGGGACCCGGGCCTTGGCCATTCCAGCCCCCCTTCATCCCCTCACCGGGAGTCAGAATCGTGGGGTCCGTCCTTTCACCTTCTAGAGCCCAGCCTCCCTCCTCCCCACAATCCTCACCCCAGGGAAAGGGGGCCAGGGACCTGCTCCCTCCTCTTTACCTCTGGGTCCAGCTCCCGCCCGCGCGGCGTCCGGGGGCTCGGGTCAGGCCCTCCCTCGCTCCCTCCCTTCTGCCCCAGCCCGAGTGGCGGTGCTGTAGTCGGAGCCCTGCCCAGCCAGTCCGGAGGGGCGGGGAGGGGCGGAGAGGGAGGCCGCCAGGGCCCCAGGGGCCGGGAGGGGCTGGGGCGGGGCCGAGGGAGGAGGGAGAAGGGACGGGAGGGGATGGGAGAGGCCAAGAGGCCGACCTGAGGGATGGGGCTCTGGCGTGTTGGGGCTGGTTTTTTGGTGAGACAGCGGAAAGGTGCAGGGGTGGCCAGAGACAGACGGGACCCAGTGAGGCGTGGCAGGGAGAGCCAGGGGCCTGGGAGAGTCTGAGGGAGGGTGAGGCTGAGGGGCCAGGCCCGAGTCCTGGGTGGGCAGTATGGCCAGGCGGCCCAGGGACAGGCAGAGTCCCAAAGTGGCAGAGCTGGGTAGGGAGGTTGGGGGGGGGTGCGGGCTGGCACTGGGCCGAGGAGGCAGTGGTGAATGTGCTGAGGGGATGGGTGGGCAGTGCCAGAGCTGGGCTGTGTCGTGGCCGCCGGAGTCAGGGTGGGGGTGGGGAAGGGGCTGGTGGAGAGGAGAGACGGACTGGGTGGGTGCGGGGGGGGGAGAGGAGGGTTGGGGGAGACCTCTGGGGCAGGCAGGGGAAGGGAGAGGAGGGACGGAGGAGGAGGAGATGGCTGCAGGAAGAGAGGGAGAGGAGTGGTGTGGAGTTGGGGCAATGCCCGTGCCCCATGCCCCATGCAGGAGGAGAGAGAAGTTAGAGGCAGATGGGCGACCTGTGGGGTGGGACTGAGAAGGGCGTCTGCGGAGCAGAGCCAGGGTAGAGCGGGAGGGGACAAGACGGAAGGTGGGGGGGGGGGGGCCGGGGGGGGGCGTGGGGGGGTGCCTCAAGCTGAGATGACCCCCCCCACCTCCTCTGCCCCCTTTGGTGCCTGGTGTTTGCCTTGTGGGGGTGGGGATCCATCCCTTCCCCGGCCTCCCCCAACCCCAGCCCATCTGGACCTCTGGGACAGGAGAGGGTGTCCGGTGTCCGCCTGTGTTTGCGTCCCTGCCCCTGGGTCCCCTCCTGCTGGGGTGGTGTCAGCTGTTTGGGGAGGTGGGCAGGCGGGGCCTCCTTATCCCTGACCTCTTGGAACCTTGGGGTGGGACCAGGGGCCCCACTGAGCCGGGCCTGACCCACTTCGCTCCATCCTGGGTTGGAAGGACTGTCTGGACCATCTCATCCTTGGCACCTTGTCTGTCAGCAGTGGCTGATTTATCTGTCCAGAGATGACTTCCAACCCGAGTCTGAGTGATGGAGCCCGTGGGAGCAGCTGGAGGAAGAGCGTGCAGAGTGTGTGTCGGGTGTTAATGCACCAGAAGTGAAGGGGCAGGGCTGGCTAGGGGCCCGGGGCGGGACCCTCAGCACCCGGGAGGGGTCTCCCAGCCTCCCCCTCCCGCTTCCACCCTGGAGCTCCCCCGGCTCCTCTTACTTCTCCCAGGGGTGCCAACACTGCTCCTCCTGGGGGTGGTTGGAAATCTCAGGGTGCGGGTTGGGTTGCTACGGGCATCAGCCTGGGTCCAATCAGGAGGTGAAACCACTGGGCAACTGGAACAGGGACAGCCCATCATTGCGAAGGACCCGAGAGGTGCCTTCTGTGGAACAGTTGGGGGTGGAAGTATAGCTCCCTTGGGAGCCACTCGGTCCAGCACTGACCTCGCTGAGCTCTGGGTGCCCCCTCTGGATTCTGCCAGGGAGGCTCAGCTCCTTGTCTTAGGAACCGGAAGCCACGCCTGAGTCCACGTTCTAGTCAGCAACCTGAAAAATCCACTAGAGCCGTCCAGCCGCACTGGCTAGCTCCCTCGTTCCCTCACGTAAGTGCCCTGGACCGTGAACTCGGCCCTCACTGGTCTAAATCCCTTAGACTGGAGCTCCCCCACCTCCCCCGGGGTTTGCAAATCTTGCCATTGCTCTGGTGTAGAGGCTGTCCCCTGGGTCCTCGTGGGCGGCTGTGCCCTAGAGCCTGCAGAGATGGAAGCCCGGGCCTCCGGGAGTCTGGTGAGAGCAGGGGCGCTTGTGAGTCTGAGGAAGGGCATTGGCCTGGGGGAGGGGAGCACAGCGGTCCCAGCACAGGCAGGCTCCTGCCCTCCTCAGTCACTGGGCACAAACACTCGAGTGACCAGGGGGTCCAAGATCATGTTTCCACAAGGTCCAACCAGGGTACCCCATCCCAAATTTCAGGGTCCCTCTGTACCAGGCGGCACCCTCACCGGCACGTGAGAAACTTATCAAGACTGTGGATTCAACCACTGCCACTCAGCAACCTGCAAACTTAAATGCCTCGTTTTCAGCGCTTCAAAGATCTTGGGAGCAGCACAGAAGCTCTCCCCCTTGAAGAAGGCAGCCCGAGCTGAGCCAACAGCCCTGACCCTGTCCTTGTCTGTGGGTGCTCAAGGGCACTCCGAGGAAGCTTCCAGCACCTATCTTTAGAACTGGCGTTACTGGCACAGTGGTCAGGTGCAGCGGCTGCGGGGCTCCCAGGCACGTGCCTCAGCGGGCATCCCAGCCAACGGCCAACCCCTGGTCAGAGCTGGACCGACCCCAATCCTGTCTTTGTGAGTCTGTCTCCTGGAACACTCCGGAGGCCAGTGCTGGATCCGTGTGGATCCCGTCAGGAGAGAAAAACCGCACAGTGACTCGAACAGGTCAAGTTTAATGTCAATTTGTTGACGTTGAACAGCGAACTGAAGGTCCCTGTTCTGGGTCGCAGGGAGAGCCCTTCGCAGGGAGGTGCCTCGGTGGCGGGGGGGCTCTCTGAGACTGCTGGGGGTGGCACCTCAGGAACCACCTGCTGGGGAGGCCTGAGGGCTCAGCCCAGAGCACACAGAGCCTCCCACATGGAAGCAAAGGCTTTTCTCCTGTCCTCTGTCAGGCGCCCTCTACCGACAAACTTCAGCACGTCATTCAGCCGAGGAAAACGGTTTCAAAGGCCCATGGTCTGTTTTCACGGAGCAAACAGGAAAGCTGGATTTGGAGCGGAGTCAGTGAGTGGATAAGCGGGAACACCGGGGGCCGTGGGGCACGCCGGGCGTCAGCGAGTGAGTCCAGGGATGGCGAGCTGGCGGAGAGCTGAGTGGTGTCCCACAGGGAACCAGGCCGGTGGCGCCCCTGTGTCAGAGGGGATCCCGGCAGGGAGCAGCAACGTCTTCAAACAAGGCTATGCTGAGAAGACGCTCGGGACAAGTCAAGAGCAGGGTTTCCTGACATGGCAGGAACTGGGTGTGGGGGAATCAAGAGAGGAGGTGTGGGGAAGTCACGGGGCCGGGGGAGGCGTAGAGTGTGGCTCCCCCGGGGCTGCTCATCTCTCCTGGGCCTGGGAGGCTGCTGGAACCCAAAGTGAAGCCTGTGGAACGAGCGAGCCAGAGTCCCCGAGATGGGGAGTAAGTACGCCAGCCGCACGCTCTCCTCTGACCTGCTGGCAGGGCCAGTCTCCCCACCCCGCGCCCCACCTCCGTGTGGAGTGATCCCAGTGGAAGCCACAGGACCGAGAACTGTCAGCCCCTCCACGGGGCCCCGCTGATGCCCAGCTCGACGGGAAGCAGGCCGAGGGCTAGGCAGGGACGGGGCTGGCTGTGTCCTGAGACTGCTCCTCCGGCCCCAACCCGAGGCCCTGGGTCCAGTCAGTCCCCAGAACCTCGCAGTTGGGCAACATCTCTTCCACCAGGATCTGCGTGAGGCCTGGGTTGGACACGGCGGGGAGGTCGGAGATGTCCAGCCTGCGGAGGTTCCTGAGAGGAGGCAGCAAGGGGTGAGGCCTCCGTGAGGAGGGCGGGCCTCTGCAGGGGGAAGGGCATGAAGGGGGGTGCACCAGCCCTGGCTTCAGCCTTGGAGCCTGAGCTCTTTAAAATCAGAGTCCTGGGACGCCTGGGTGGCTCAGTTGGTTGGGCGGCTGCCTTCGGCTCGGGTCATGATCCCGGAGTCCTGGGATCGAGTCCCGCATCGGGCTCCTTGCTCAGCGGGGAGCCTGCTTCTCCCTCTGCCTCTGCCTGCCCCTCTATCTTCCCATGCCCACACCCTCTATCTCTCCCCCCGAAAAATAAACAAAAAAAAAACATAAACAAAAAATCAGAGTCCTTAGCTACCCAGATGATAGAGCTGGCCAAGTACAGACCTCCCCCCTGGGAATTACAGACCACACTCTGGCTCTCCCTGTTCACAACAGTGTCAACGTCATCGAGTTTTCATTAAAAAGAAAAACCAGGAGTGCTTCCCCCCACGCCCCAGATTCACCGCGATGGCTCGCGTGTGTGGACCCCACACACACTCCAGGCTGGTTGTGGAGGCAGGGCTACGGGGACCGCCCGCTCCCCGCTCTCCCGTATCTGTGTCAGGTGCCTCCCCCCCGCCGCCCCCAAGCTTGGGGCCCGGCCTGAGCTGAGGTCTCACTGGAGGTGGTGGAGGCAGGCGAGGCCCCTTTCAGAGATTCGGGGACAACCGGCCAGCGAGAGCTCCTGCAACGAGTTGGCCAGCGGGTGGAGGCGGCTGAGACACCAGTCATCCACGTGGGGACAGTGCCGTAGCCACAGGGACTGGAGCTCCTTCAGGGTCACTGCAAGGCAGGGGAGGCCACTGAGATCCTTTCTGGAGCCCTGCACGGAAGGGCAAACGCACCAGCCCGCCCGTCTCCGGCCCACTCACGGAGGCTGTCCAGGCCGTGGTAGTTGATGGCACTGCCACTGGCATCGACTGCCTCTACAGGCACCGCTGGGAACGTCAGGAAGTCGAGAGAGAAGCGGCCACGCGCATTTGGCCGGATCCACTCCTTGCCCTGAAACCTGGAAGGAGACAGGCAGTGACCAGGGCACCCCGCCTCCCCAGGCCTCCAGCTTCCGGAGGACACTCCCAGCCCCGTGTGAGGACCTGGTCACACAGCGTCTGGTGCGCTCGCTGCACAGCAGGCCCTCCACTAAAGGCCTTCTGTGTTGGGTCTCCCTGGGCCCCGGACATTCCCATGAGAGATGAGAGATGAGAGATGCATGTTTGGCCTCCCCCTCCCCCACTTTTTCTAAGTAGGCACCGCGTCTAGTATGGAGCCTGACGCGTGGCCTGAATTCACAACCCTGAGGTTAAAAGTTGAACGCTCAATGGACTGAGCCACCCCTGTTTGGCCATTTTTATTGTGGGTCAGAAAAACTCGGTTAACATCAGAGAAAAGGGTGAGAATGCCAGAATCTTCACTGACTGTCAAAAGTTGAGACCCACTCGGATGTGTGCACCTTTTCTGAGGAACGTGCCAGAGGAAGGTGCTCAGACCAGGGGAACATTTTAACTGGAGCCAAGCAAGGGGTAGGTAGATGCATGAGCTACATTTTCCAGAGAAGAGGAGAAAGGGGAGGAAAAAACAGAGGAGGAGGGAGGGAAGGAGGAGAAAGGAAGGAAAAGGAACAGCGATGTTCACTGAACTCCTGGGCTGTATTGGGCCCGTGCCACACACTTCATGGCAGTAAGTCTCTGAGTCTTTCCAGCAAACCTTGCAGGTTCATACAACCACCGCCCCGTTTTACAAATGACAGAGCAGGAGCTCAGGAACAAGGTCCGAGGGGAGCCAGCAGGGATAGAGCCCAGGGTTCATGAGAAGTCCCAAGGGCCTCTGGCTCAGTGCTCCACAGCCTCCCCTACCCCATGCTGACACTTTAGCCCTCATACCTGACTGCGCCGCCCTGCTTCAGGATGAAATAGGCACCCGCGGCGTGGGGACCGAAGTGCTCCTTGATGTGGGTGAAGGGCCTGTGGAGAGAACAGTGGCTGAGGTTGAGCACTGCACCCCGGTGTCCTGCTGTCATGCCCCTGCCCCATCGCGAGGGTCAGAGTTCACAGCAAGAGGAGTGAGCCAGACAGACCGACCGACCGAGACAGGCTGCGTGTATTTACTAAGCGTCTGTTAAGGGCCAGCACCAAGGCAGACAGCAGTCCACGCTCTGTGCGGTTAAAGTTACGGAAGGAACCAGGTGGCCCAACCGGAAGTTAAGAGCAAACTGCAGCAGCAGCTCCGTGCTGGAAGTAACAGAGGGACTGACTCCGGAGTGGCTTGGGGCAGGGGTGGGGATGGAGAAGGCTACTTCAGTTTGGGTGTTAAGAAATACCTTCTTGGGGTGCCTGGGTGGCTCAGTCAAGCACCTGCCTTCGGCTCAGGTCATGACTCTGGGATCGAGCCTCTGCCTCTGCCTGCCCCTCTGCCTACTTGTGCTTTTTCTGTCGAAAAAACATTAAAAAAAATAGTAGCTTCTTGCAGGAGGTGACACCTGAGCAGAGCTTTGGTGGGAAGAAATTCAAAGCTCACGGCAGGAGCCTGCCAGGCCAAGGGAAGAGCTGGTGGACACACTCAGAGGCTCAACTTAGAATGGCAGGACAAACAGCACTGAGGATGCCATGCTGGTGGGGGTAAGGGGAATCCCTGGTAGGCATCTCAAAGCTCAGCTTTTAGGCTTTGGAGTCTAGCTTTTATTCTAGCAACCAAATGGCTGCAATGGGAAACCATTTGAGGGTTTTAAGCAAAGTGGTGTTTCTCTATTTTAGTGGGGTTTTTTTTTTTAGGTTTTATGTATTCATTTGATGGAGAGAGAGCGCAAGTAAGGGGAGTGGCAGGCAGAGGGAGAGGGAGAAGCAGGCTCCCCACTTAGCAAGAAGCTGGACATGGGACTCAATCCCAGGATCCTGGGATTCTGACCTGAGCTGGAGGCAGACACTTAACTGACCGAGCCGCCCAGGCACCCCTGTTTTGAGTCCTTTAGATGATTTATAGACCGTAACAGACTGGAGAGGGCAAAAGGTGACCAGATTACTGTGCTCAACCAACCATAAAATGAAGGGGCTCAGTCAGACCAGGCTACAGACAGGAGGTAACAACTTGGCACATCTGGGATGGTCTGGTGTTAGTGGACTGGATGTGGAAGACAGAAAAGAAGATCAGGGAAGGCTCCTTAGAATTTGGCTTGAGTAACTGGGGACAGTGCTGCTGTTTCCTGGGATGGGGAAGACTCGGGGGTGAGCAGACTTTCTCAGGAAATCAAGGCTTTACCATTAGCCATTAGCCATGTTAGGTTTGAGGTACCAGCGTGCCCTCTAAGGTGGTGGACAGCGGGTTACTTATATGAGCTGGAGCCCCTGGGAAGGGCATGGCTGGAGAAGATGCAACTCCGCAGGCCTGGTATAGAGGCCACGGGCGCAGGATCTGAGCTCTGCCTGGTACGGCCCCAGCAGCAGGGTCTTGCCCACTAAGAGTTCTCACCGGTTTTTCTGGTGCACCTTCAATACCTGCTTTCGGAGCAGGTACTCCCTGAGAGCCTGCACGTCATAGAAGTGGTCAGCCAGGAACTGGAGCAGGGACCTCTCCTTCCTCTGACTGCCCTCCGGGGCCACTGCCTTACTTAGGCCACGGATGCCCCTGGTACCCCGGTTCCATACTGGCGCCATCAGGTGCAGGGGCTGGGGATAACAGGAAAGGAGAGGCTGAGCCTGGAGCCTGCTGTGAGGGTCAGAGCCAGATCCCCCTGTTCCTGGTTCATGAACCTCCCCTCCTCCCCAATGCTTCTTCCTGGCTGACAAAATTCTTTCTGGATTTCCAAATTCTGCTTTTGAGATCCCCCAAATTTCCCCAAGTTCCTTCCCTTAATGAACCCTAAATTCTCTTTGCTTTGGCCAAACATTCTTGGTCTTCCCAATTCTCCCCTGATCTTTTCCCAAACCCTTATTTTCAAGACCTCTATTACCTGACCTAATTTCCCACAAGGTACCCCCTTAATTTTATCCAAGTTTCCCTGGAGTCTTCCTGAATGACTCATGTCTTAACCCCCAAATATCTTAATTTATCTCCAAATCAGCCTTAATTTACCCGTTAAAGCCCCTAAATGCTTTCTTCAATCTCCTTTCAGTCTTCTCTTAGCCTGCTCCAATTTCTTTTTCTGCTTCAACCAAATTTTCTCGGTAATTTGCCCACATCCTTACTTTCCCCTCAAAATTGCCCAAGCTCTCACCCTAACTTCCCCTAAATCTATTCCTTGACTTTAGGTCTTTCCTCCTAAATTCTCTCCACGAATATCGCAAATTCTGCCCTTAATTCCCCTTAGGTCTTTACCTTGGAACTCTCATATTCATCTTTTGGTTCCTGTCCCCCGCCTCCAACTTCCCTTTGGTTTTCCATAAAAATGAATAATTTTCCCATGAGCTCCTCTCACCTATATCCTTTTGTCTCCTACCCTTGGACCTCAAACTCCAGCTTCTCCACCAAACTCACCCAAAACCCTCTTCCACCCGCAGGTTCTGTTTCACGCCCCGCCCCCCACTCCCAGAGCCCCCAATTGGGTCCCTCCCTCTGATTGGCTGGGTGCGCCATCTTCGGAACCCGCACTCTGCTTCCCCATTGGTTTCTCTCTGCCAACTCCCCGCCCCGCGTCCGCTCTAAAGAGCCCTGGCTGTCTGCGACCTCCCCCAATCGTTCTCGCCCGCCAAGGTCGCATGTCTGTGTTTCCAGCATGAGCTCACGGGGGAGGCCTCCTGCTCCCTTTTGCCCCTTGCTCCCTGGGTCTTCACAGAAGCTCTGAAGGCGGAGGCAGCAGAGCGGACTTTAATTTTGGGGCTCTAGGAGCTCCGGTCACTTACCGCCCTGGGTGCCACCATCTTGCTAGGATTACATAACCGGAAGGGGCCGGTTTTTTTAGTCCACCCACTCGGTTCACTTAGGGAGTTCTTTCCCTATGGCCACGCCCCGTCCGTTTTCCAACTCTCCTCTTAAAGGTACCTGCACTGTTTACTAGTTGAGCGATTGCTCCGAGTGCCATTCCCAGTGAGACTCTACAGCCTTTCCCTGGGAGAGAGCGGTCAGCCCTTCCTGTTAGAGTACCCTCCCTCCCACTATACTCACGACCTTGAGACTATGACCTGAAGAGTCAGGGGATTAACAAAATGAGCCACCCAGGCTCCTCTGATTTATGTTTTTTTAAAGATCATTTTGGGGCGCCTGGGTGGCTCAGTTAAGTGTCTGCCTTTGTCTCCCGTTATGATCCCAGTGTCCTGGGTTTGAGCCCAGTATCGGGCTCTCTGCTTGGTTGGGAGCCTGTTTCTCCCTCTCCCTCTCCCCCTGCTTGTGCTCCCCGTGTCTCTCTCTCTGTCAATTAAATAAAATCTTTTCTTTAAAAGATTATTTATTTGAGAGAGCGAGAGAGAGAGCATGAGAGGGGATAGGTCAGAGCGAGAAACAGACTACCCGCCGAGCAGGGAGCCAGATGCGTGACTGGATCCTGGGACTCCAGGATCATGACCTGAGCCAAAGGCCACCGCCCAACCAACTGAGCCACCCAGGTGCCCAATTCAGTAATATCTTAAAAAAAAAAAAAAATCATTTCTGCCAGGTGGAGAACAGACCTTAGGAAGTGAGAGTGGAAGTGGGGACCAGCAAAGAGGCTACTGCAACAGTCCAGGCAAGAGATGAATGGAGACAGGAGCAGAGATGGGGTAATAGGAACTGGGGAGAAGTGCTCAAGTTGAGTCTACTTTGAAGGTTGAGCCAATAACTCCACAAACTAAAAGGTTGGGGATGCCACTTAGGGAGACAGGGAGACTAGGGAGACAGAGACTAGGAAAGTGATAGGTTTGAAAGGCAGGTGTGGTGGATTGAATAGTGGACCACCCCCACTCTCAACACACACACACACACACAAAATTCATGCCCCGATCCTTGGAACTTACGAATTTGCTATTCTATATGAGAAAAGGAAGAGGTGATCAAGTGAAGAATCAGGAGCTGGGGAGATAGCTGTGGGCGATCAGGATGGGCCCAGGGCCATGACAAAGGTCCTGTTAGATGGAGGCAGGGTGTCAGTCAGTAGGAGACGTGATGGTATGTGCAGGAGTGATACAGGGAAGGGGCAATAAGCCAAGGCCTGTGGCGGTAGTGGCTTCTGGATGTGGAGGGAGGCCGACGCCCCAGTCTTTTCTGTGGCAGGACCTTGCGCTGACAGTGATGGTATCTGTGGGCAGGTCAGGGCTCAGCAGAAATGGCTGCTCAACTGTGCGCCACCAGTAGCTGGACCCTGAGGTACCACAGCTGAGGATCGTGGCTCCTCAGGCGCACTAATCAGGAAGCTGTTGGGTGGCCCAAGTGCAGAAGACAAGGTCTAAGTTGGGCCAGCTGTGGGGCGCCTGAGTGGCTCAGATGGTTAAGTGTCTGCCTTCAGCTCAGGTCATGATCTCCCAAGTCCTAGGGTCAAGCCCCACGTCAAGCCCCACGTCAAGCCCCACATCGGGCTCTTAGCTCAGTGGGGAGTCTGGTTCTCCCTCTCCTGCTCCCCCTGCTTGTGCTCTTTTTCTCAAATGAATTAAAAAAACAAACAAACTTTAAGCTGGGGCCAGCTAGAGTGCAGAGGAAGGAAGAACGGAGGCTGAGGGGGGGGTGGGGGGATCCAGGAGAGGGCGGGACAGGTGAGGCCAGGCATCCACAGACACCCAGTCCCCGAGAGGGGTTAGGCCTAAGAACGGGTCAAGGGAGGGGCCGTGGCTAGACTCTTCCGAGCAGAGTTGAAGTTAGACTTTAGAAGGAAGAAAATCCTCATGAGGCTGTCAGTTCTCACCAGAGAACGGACTTTGAAATGCTGACCCATGTACCCCCTCACGCCCTTTGCTCCCCACTTCGCTCACGGGCTCCTCAGGGACTGGTCATTCTGGATCTTGCCATTTTCCGCTCCTGGTTGCCACTGCTCAGAGACTATGGAGCTGTGGGGGCAACTGAGGCAGGCGGGCCTGGTGCCCCCGGGGCTGGGCCCCCCTCCCCGGGCCCTGAGGGAGGTCGCCCCGGTGGGGAGAGCTGGCCAGACCTTCCTGTCCCCAGGGGAAGACACTGCAGGTGCCAGGGAGTGTGTGCTGTGGATCTGGGAGGAGCTGGTGAGTAAGGGGTTCAGATGGGCAAGAGATGGGGCTCAGGTGGGGGGGGGGGGAGAGAGCGGGTGCATGAATGGGAACGAATAGAATTGCAAAGGGCCAGAGACTGAAGGACATAAATTCAGAGACAAGAAAAGAGAAGCGGAGAGAGACAGAGACATAGATCCAAGAGTACGAGCAAGGAGTAGAGAGGCAGGGACAGAGATACACAGGGGGGAGACAGAGATAGAAAGAGGTTGAGACAGAGAGAGACAGTCAAAGGCAGGGGCAGAGAAATAGTGCCAGAAAGGGATATGGAAAGACAGACAGAAGCAGAGACAGACAAGGCAGGGCAGAGAGAGAGACACCGTAAGAGAGGCACAGAGATGCAGAGCCAGTGAGGGACTAGAAACAGAGAGACAAAGTCAGGGAGAGACAGGCAGAGATAGAGACCATCTGGGAGAAGCTGGAGGCAGTCAAGGTCTGGGCCTGGTGAGGACCCCGCTGTGCTGCAGGCCCGGATTGTTAAAGAGAAGCTTACCTACGGCACGTAGCTAGTGACACTGTAGGTGTAAGGGCCACTGCAGCGGGGTCAGGGGCTGGCACAGAGAGATGGGCTCAGCTCTGAGCACAGCAGGGGCAAGTGGGGATTTCTATGGAAGGAGAGGGCAGGGGTCAGCAGATGGGAAATCACTAAGCAGGGCATCTGGCTTAACGGACGCTCAGGGCTGTTGCTGGAGGCAGGCCAGAGACATGAGGTGGGGCCTGGTCAGAGATGGGGCCGGGGTGGGGGCGTGGAGGGGGGTGAGGAAACAGATCAGATATCAGGGGTGATCAGACATGGAGGATGGAAGATTGTTGGTAAAATGGGATTTTACAAGGAAGCGCACAGATGGGCCCAGGAGAAGGTTTAGGAGCTTAGCTGAAGTTTGGTCAAGCAAAGAATCTTGGCCAGAACTTGAGCGCGTTGGGAGTGGGGGGCACCTTGACGCCATGTACCACCCCCGCCCCCTGCGGGGTGGGATGCCCATGACTCCACCTTCCCACGGGCAGGAGCACCTCCGCCAAGTGGACCTCCAGCTGCTGGGCCGGCTGTGCAGTCTGGGGCTGGAGTTGGGGGTGCTGCGGGAGGAACTGTTCACCTTCCTGGAGGAGGAGAGCCTCATCGAGGAAGAGGAGGAAGAAGAGGAGGAGGAGGAAGAGCCTGAGGGGAAGCAGGAGGAGGGACACCTGGGGACCTTCGGCTCAGCCCTGTACCACCACCCCCCTGACTTCGAGATGACCATCTGAGGCCCTACCGCCCTGCCACAGCTTCTGAGTGACACATGAATGAGATGCAAATTTATGCAAAGGACAGAGCATTTGCAGTTAGATCCACCTGACCTGCCAGGGGGCTCAGGAATCAACCTGAGCAGATGCACCCTGGGAAGCCCTCTGTCCCCATCCAGATGGAGGGGCTGGCTGGTGAGCTCTGGGGCTCCGCAGCCCGTGTGGGCCGTCTACAGGTGTACTTGCCAAGGAACTGCAAGTGAGTTGCAGGGGACCTGTGGGTCTTTGCAGAGAGGGTCACCTATAGGTGACCAAGGCCACCCAGCATGGTGGCCTGTGCCTTGGGTGGAACCACAGAGCACATTCCAAAGGCTTAGTGTGATAAAAAGAATATAGAACGGTTTGATAATCTAAAACTTTTGTTGGAATGCTAGTATTTCCTGCATAATGGGGTAAATAAAAATATTACTAAAATGAATTTCACCTGAGTATCTGAAAAATTTTTAACATGGTAAAGTATATATAATAAAATTTACCATTTTTGCCATTTATAAGTGTACAGTTCAGTGGTATTAGACCCATCCACACTGTGCACAACCATCACCACCGTCCATCTCTGGAACTCTTCATCTTATAACCCTGAAACTGGACCCATTAAACAACTCCCCAGTCCCCTTTCTTAGAGAGAGAGAGAGAGAGAGAGAGAGAAAGAGCGCGCACTTGAGAGCTGGAGTGAGTGAAGGAGAGCAAGGGGGGGTGGGGTGGGAGGCAGAGGGAGAGGGACAAGCAGACCCCCTGCTGAGCAGGGAGTCTCACGTGGGGCTCAATCCCAGGACCCTGAGACCATGATCAGAGCCAAAATCAAGAGTCAGACACTTAACCAACTGAGCTGGCCAGGCGCCCCTTTTTCCATTTTCAAATAGGACTGCTAGAAAATTTAAAATTACGTACGGATCTCCCGCTGTATTTCTGCAAAGCACTATTTGAGAGGTTTGAAAATGGAATGTGGGTGTGAGCAGAGGGGTGGTGGGGGTTCCCAGCTGTTCCCAGATGTGTTGCAAATGTGTTGTATCTGAGGATGGCGGCTGAGGAGAAGCCCGCCCCACCTGCAACCATTCTCGGGGTCTACATTTGCAGAAAAGAGGCCGATGTCAACAGGCAGAGGGCGCCAGCCTGAGGGGAAACATCTCTTCAGGGCAGACAATTGGATATTCGTAGAATCATTACTCCTGGGGAAGACAAACACACGCTTACATGTTTGCCATTCGTCATCAAAACTTTTTTATTTAAAAATTTATTTACTTATTTGACAGAGAGAGATACAGAGAGGGAAGGAACACAAGCAGGGAGGGTGAGAGAGGGAGAAGCAGACTCCCCACCAAGCAGGGAGCCTGATGCGGAGCTTGATCCCAGGACCCTGAGATCACAACCTGAGCTGAAGGCAGAGGCTTAAGGACTGAGCCACCAAGGCTCCCAAAACACTTTTTAGTTTAAAAAAAAAAAAA